CATTCACGAAAAGTACTTGGCGTTATGGAGTCGATCAAGTGCGTCGTCTATTCGTGGGAAAGGATACACGTCCTTTCTTGTGATTTTGTTCAGGCGGCGATAATCGACGCAGAAACGTAGGGTCCCATCCTTTTTCTTCACTAACACCATGGGGGATGCCCATGGGCTGTTGGACGGCTGGATAATATCATCCCGCAGCATTTCATCAACTTGTCTCTTGATGGCCTCACGTTCTCGCGTCGAAACCCTGTACGGACTCTGACGGAGTGGTCTGGCATTTTCTTCGGTTATGATGCGATGTTTCGTGATTGGGGTCTGCCGAATTTTCGATGACGACGAAAAGCAATCTTCGTATTGCAGGAGCAGGGCCTTGAGCTGTTCTTGCTTATCGTTCGGAAGTCTGGGATTGACGTCGAAAGCTATGGGAGGGGCTTGGTTCCTCTGAGCAGGTTCCGCAGAATCGGCGAGGGCGAAAGCACTGGTGGCTTCGACAATTTCTTCGATGTATGCGACCGTTGTTCCTTTGTTCACATGTTTGTACTCATTGCTGAAATTTGTGAGCATAACCGTTGCTTTGCCTTCCCGCAACTCTGCAATTCCTCTTGCGACGCAAATATTTCGGGTGGCCAACAGATGCTGACTGCCTTCAACGACGCCTTCGAAGTCAGGTGATTCAGGAGCGCCGACTGAAATAATGACGCTTGAGCGAGGCGGAATGGTGACTTGTTCTTCCAGCACATTCAAGGCATGGTGTCTAGACGGCGTGCGCGGCGGTAGTGCTTCTTCTGTGGATAACGTTATCGACTTTGTTTTTAGGTTGATGACAGCACCATGGAGGCATAAGAAGTCCATGCCAAGGATGACATCTCTCGAGCAACGCTGTAGGACTACGAAGTCTGTAGGATAAATACGGCCGTTAATGGTGACTCTCGCTGTGCAGATTCCTGCAGGCGTTACGAGATGACCTCCGGCTGTGCGGATCTCAGGGCCTTTCCAAGCTGTCTTAACTTTCTTTAACTTCGCGGCGAACGACCCACTGATGACAGAATAGTCGGCTCCAGTATCGACGAGAGCGGTCACACTGTGGCCGTCGATAAGAACGTCGAGGTCGCTAATTCGCCGTCTCGCATTACAGTTAGGGCGTGGCGTCGGGTCACGGCTGCGTCGACTTGTTCCGCTGCTTCCATGTTGCGACGTCAGGCCACCTTCGGTAAGTGAGCTTTCGCCGTCAGGGCTTTGCCTGGTTGGCGTTGTGTTCGGAAAGCTCCGTCGCGGCGGCGTCGTCGTCGGAGGATCTTCGGTAGTTCGTCGCACAGCAACCGCACCTCCACCGGTTGCTGCCCTTAGTTTCCCGGATACGGGCTAGGAGACCGGCCCCGCGTTGGGCCAGAGTACTGTCGGTGGTGCGGTGACGTGCGGCGGCTGGGTGACGGCGAACGCGAAGGGCTTCGTGGTGTCCACCGAGTTCCTGTCAGGTAGTCGGCGATGTCACGTGGTCGTTCTCCTGGCTGTGGGCGCGGTGCATTGACGGCGAAGCCACGCAATCCCATCTGTCGGTACTGGCAATGGCGGTATGTGTGTCTGGCCTCGCCGCAGTGGTAGCAGAGCGGGCGATGGTCAGGGGTGCGCCAGACGTCAGTCTTCCTCGGTGCACTGCGCTGGGCCGCTGGCGAACGTAATGACGTCGGTGGGGGTGGTGGCGGGCGGTGGCGTCTGTCGACGGAAGTGCGATGGGGCGGCGTTTTGGCGTGGACGGGGAGTAGCGTTGTGGCGCAGTGGAGCGGCGTAGCTCATAGGCTTTTGGCTCGGGCAGCGGTGCGTGGGGAATTTGAAGCGATTGCCGAACTTCTTCTCGCACAATGTCGGCGATCGAATCCACTTGAGGCTGCGCCGAAGGCAACAGCTTGCGCAGCTCTTCCCGCACGATCGCTCGGATCGTTTCACGCAGGTCTCCGGAGTTACTGGCTTGAGCAGCAGCGCAGTCTGCAGTCAGGCGACGATTATACTGTCTGGTGCGCATGTCCAGGGTCTTTTCAATAGTGGTCGCTTCGGCTACGAATTCTTGGACGGTTTTCGGTGGGTTTCTCATCAGCCCTGCGAAGAGCTCCTGTTTTACCCCTCGCATGAGGAAACGAACTTTTTTCTCCTCAGGCATGTCTGGGTCAGCGTGACGGAATAGTCAGGTCATTTCTTCTGTGAAAATGGCGACATTTTCATTTGGTAGCTGAACCCGGGTCTCTAATAAAGCAGCGGCCCTCTCTTTTCGAGCGACGCTCGCCAACGTTTGCAGGAATGCGCCGCAAAAAACATCCCACGTTCAGAGCGTGGACTCCTGATTTTCGAGCCAGGTCCTTGCGGTGTCTTCTAAATAGAAGAACACACGACGCAGCTTTTTGTCATGGTCCCAGTGGTTGAGGGCGGCCACACGGTCGTATGTCTCTAGCCAGGACTCCGGGTCTTCGAACGATGACCCATGGAAAATTGGTGGTTCCCTGGGTTGATGCATGACCATCGTGGGCTGGGACGCTGCGGTTGTCATTGTCGCTGCAGTCGCGGTCATGGCCTTAGTCTTCCGCGGCTTGTCGTGTAGAAGCCCGTACTCCGGTGGTAGCCCTTGCTGTCGGCGGCTTGTTCGCTGCTCCTGGTTGGCGTCGGTGTCTTCTCCGCGACGTGGGCTGGGTTCACGGCTTGACGGGGGCGTCCGGTACATGAACGAAGCAGCACCTCCACCAGATGTCACGGGGTCGTGACGTGGCCAAAGACAGGAAACTTCGTGTTGGGATTTAACTGTTTATTTGGGCGAACCTGTGCCCGGTAAAGGGAAAGTCTAATTACAGTAGCAGTCTTGCACAGATAGCAGTCTCGGACTGATAGCAGCGAACGCAGCGTCGGCCTTCGATCAACAACTGACAAGCGGCGAAGCGCGTCGGCATTTATACTCTCGCCGTCGAATGTTCTAGCGCTATCGCTGGCGGCGGCGTGCGTTCCAGAACAATCTGTACCATTTGCACAGTGGGCGTGATCTCATCGAAATGATCTACTACAGTCCGGAACCCTCTAGAAAACTGCAGGCGCGGTTTGCGCTGAGAATCGTGTGGTGTTTTGGGACGATAACAAAAACTTGGGAAATGGAACGTGGCAATATTCTGCTCTGGTCGGCATGTGTAATAAAAAATAAAATCCAGACGGCAGTTGTGATAAGCTAGTCCGTGACATCATAAGACAACAGCCGTATGGTTAACTGATGGCAACTGCAAAACATGTCAGCCCCAACTGTGTTAGCAGGCTTCTTTATTTTATTGTTTTGCTTGCCAGAGGCTACCAGGCATCATATGTGACACATTACACATCCATGCCTCCCCCCCTTCCTCTTGTCAAAGGTTGATGCATTTCCTCTCTACTTTTGGACTTTTTGGTACAGTGCTTGTCATTGCAGGGACTTAGGTATTCCTTCTACTGTGGCTATCTGAAACATGGAAATCAGCAGAATAGGGCTAAAAGAATGAAATAAATGGTGCTGAGCCACGGAGGCGGTGCGATGACAGGCATTGATAACTGATTAACGGCCAAGAAATAAATATGACCTCCTCTGCCAGCTATCGCTTATATTTGCCAAAATTCTGCTCAATCAGTTCACTAGAATTTTACTTGGACTCGGCCTCATGAGTCCAAGTAAATTGGCTCATGTGCGAGTTGTTGGCCAACCCATTTTCTTGTTTCTTGGGTGTGTCTACAATTTGACTGGTTCAGCTGGCATTTGTTTCCTTCTGCTTTCGGAAAAATTCAATACCCTGCAGTTACTTGTAGCAATACATCAATATTTGTTGTATTTACACCACCAGGTCCACTGTTGTTACCAGTTTATTGTGCAGACAGCAGACATGGCCAGTGTGTCCTACTGTGCTGAAGCGGTGAACATGGTACACATTTTGCGTAAGCTTATTAAATGGATGGAGAATCAATTTTCTTTTTATCCATTCGTCTTTGAGCCACTGAAACCTCGCAAATCAGAATGTCTAGTCATACGGTATTGACATGCCTGTGTATGCCTGTGACACTGTTGAATATACTTCAATTGGAATTTTTTATTCAGCATCGGGAATGAAATCATGTTGAAAACATGCTGAAAAAATTGGTGAGTGATTGTAATTCCATCTTGGCCTTAATGCACTGCTGCTGCCGTGAGAAAGTGCTTGTGTTGGCTTTTCTTTACTGCATTACTGTTTCTATGTTTTTTGAACTGTTGAATTGTATAGATTGTAGAACCTTGTGGGCTGACGTGCGAACTTGTGTGTATGCAAAGCACTAACCTGTGCTGCCATTTACTCCACAACTCTTGAAGGGTCTCCTATCTTATAGAGTTACCTAAATGTACTTCGTACTTCTGGCTCCGTGTGTGTTCGTGTGGCTTGGAGCTGTTTTCTCACGAAACGAATAATCGGCAAATGATCAGCGCTGTGCTTCACCACCTTATTTTTTTAGGCTTACCATTTCAAATCGTGTCATGAAGTTCAAAAGGGTTCATTCTTTTTTTCATAACAAAACCAAAACACAGCAACAAATGAAGCCACAAGTGCGATTTGCCGTCTGCAAGTACCAAGACTAGGCAAATCCATGTACTACCCATCATTCTCATTGTCGCTGAATGATTGCAGCGCCACAGTCCCCTCTAGTTAATTTTAGAAAGCTCTTTATGTCATTCCACTCCCACAAAACCACAAAAAGCTTGGAACAGTGCTCAAACGACTATATAAGGATAGAACTTTTAAGAAAGTTAATATGTTCCATAATGTTATGTTGTCTACCTAAGACTTCTCCAAAAGTTTGTGCAACATACTATCTTTTGCGACTTTCTGTGCTATTTTGAGATAATACTTGTTTAAGTAGCAAACATTCTCGACTGTGTGAACATAATTTATAATTGACAGATGTTGCCAGTCCCTGAACATCAGTGGCACAGTGGTTGCACATCCTGACCAGGTGACTATGGCTGTTTGCAGTTTGCCGGAAGCTATGAAGTGGTGGACCACACCTTCGATGCCATCGTGGTGGGCGCTGGTGGAGCGGGCCTGCGGGCTGCTTCGGGCCTCGTGGAGGCTGGCTTCAAGACTGCCTGCATCACCAAACTGTTCCCCACTCGATCCCATACTGTGGCTGCACAGGTACGCCACTAGCTGTCGCTTCTAGTCTATGCAAGGCACACCAGACGACCAAAATTAACGGCCTCGTCTTGGGAAAACTCTTGGTATCGGGAAAACCAGATGTACTTGCTTGCATCAAGTACGTCGTTAGCGTAGTTCTAGATGAAGCATCATGCCTTAAACGTTTCTGAACCATGCTTGAGCTCTACTTCGCAAAAGAGTTGACTGTTGGGTGAGTTAGTGCTTTGACATAGAAACCATCGTTAGAGTGCAACTAAACACGACACACAGGAAGAAATAGACGAGGAGGGCACTGTCCTCGTCTGTTTCTTTCTGTGTGTTGTGTTTAGTTGCCCTCTAACAATGGTTTCTATGTCCTTTTTGCAAGTTATTGTTAAAGAGGTGGTGCATGTTTTATGTACTAAGCACCAGCCCTTGTTCCCCGCATGGGGCGTTAGCGTAAGCAGCCGTTTGGTGTGTAGCCTACACCGCGAACCCGAGCTAACAAGGGGGTTTCGACTCCTTTCGACGCTTAGCCGTGTGTGGCATTGCCACGTCCACGTCCAGGGAAAAGGGATCCTGGGGGTTAAGTCCATGCCTGAGGGATTGGACCTTTAAAGCCCCCTGACAGAACACACCCCTTTGGCCTTGGCTTCACATAGACGGCACTCCTGGGCTGACCCTTTTCCTGTTTCTCTGTCCCCTGATCTTCGTTGTTTTCTCTTTTTCAATCTTTCCTTTCATCTCCTCACTTCTCACTTCTGTTTACTTTCATCTTCCTGGCGGCAAGGGCTAAGCTTGTGTATGTGCCCTCTCTTAATCACCTAATATTGGGTTAGAGTGGCTTTGTACAGCTGGCGCTGGCATGCCTTTTTATAATTGTGCTGCCGCGTCTTCATGTTGGGCTTCATGGTGGGCGGCTGACATGGCGGCCGAATCGATATGTACTTTGTGGCCTCTTTTTCATTCAGCAAACCGTCTGATTGCCCTCCCCTTAAGAGGGGGCGCTTCGAAGCAACACTGAATGTCTTCATAAAGCCAAAAGGAATTTCCTCGCACTTTCATGTGATCTGCTGTGAAACACAAGAAAAGAACGCAAGAACCATCTCTCTGTTTGTCGTTTTCAAATGCCTCACCAGTACCCTTGGTCCAGGGTATCGGGCTACACGTATGGCTAGCGGGGATCTTCTTGAAGTCCAAACCAAGTCCCAGTATGAAAACCTGACAAAGCTCACCTCTTTTGGAACAACACCTGTATCTATCACACCACACCACTCCCTGAACAGTTCCCGAGGCGCAGTGTCTGATCAAGACCTAATTAACCTGACAGAGAGTGAGCTCCTTGAGGGCTGGAACGAACAGCATGCAAAGCATGTACAGAGAATCAAGATCAGGCGTGACAACAAAGAAACCCTGACAAAGCACCTCATTCTTACATTTTGCACAAGCACACTTCCAGAATATATAGAAACGGGCTACTTGAAGTTAAAGGTCCCACCTTACATCCCCAACCCCCTACGTTGTTTTGAGTGCCAGCGTTTTGGCCACGGTTCTCAGAGCTGCCGTAGCCATCAAACCTGTGCCAAGTGTAGTTCGCAGACAAATGAGAAGAAGCAACTACCCACTGCGTGAACTGCAATGGTGGACATCCCGCTAACTCCCCCACATGCCGTACACGGAAACATGAAAAAGAAATACTTACATTCAAAGTAAATGAAAACATCTCGTTAAGCAGGCGCGCAAGCGCCCATCTTTGCAGGGTTTTTTGTTCGGGGAGGTGGCACGGAAGGGTGCCACCAAAATCCGTGGTGCCCGCACGCACCACACAAAGTGAACGGGTGGTAGTGCCATTCACCTCCTAAGTGGAAGCAGCACAGGCTCTTCCGCCACCAAAGGGAATGCAAGCCTCTGGACCTGCAGCCCCAGGACCTTCCGTTTTGACAGAAAGTCCTAAGACTCCTGTGCCTGTACGCGCTGAGCCGAGAGCGAGCATTCAGCACTTCGTCCTAGCTGATAGACACAACAGCAAGTCGAACAGGTGTCTCCGACGCCGAAGGATAGGCGCGGCTCATCGGAGCACGCTAGAAAGTCGAAAGTCATCATCACAGGGCCTGACAAGGGCTCCCTGACTTGACACAATACAGCAGACTCTCAGTAAATGGAAATCTGTTAAACTATTGCCTCGGCAATGCTTGGTTTTGGGCTTGTATTCTGCACCCATGTTCACCTTTCAGTAAACGAAACTCCTGTTAAATGGAACATATCTTCGCGGTCACTTCAGGTTTTGTTTACTGAGAGTCTTCTGTACTTCTTTTAGTACATGCAGCACTCATTCACACTCATAATGGATATACCGAATCATACAATGGAACGTCAGAGGACCGCTTAGACACCTCGACGATATTCAAGAACTCTTGCACGAACATTCACCAAAAGTGCTGTGTGCACAAGGGACTGGCTTAAAGTCCAAGAACACAAATTTTCTACGTTATGTAATATTCAGAGAGGACTGCGATAGCGTCATCTGGTGGGGTGGCCATTTTAGTTGATCGAGGCGTTGTATGTACACATGTATCACTACAAACATCCCTTGAGGCAGTGGCTGTCCCAGCAGTTCTTTTGAACAAACTCGCCACCATCTGCTCCCTTTACATACCTCCACTGTACCGCCCTGAAAAACATGAATTACAGTCCTTCATAGATAAACTACCAGAGCCTTATCTCGTTCTTGTAGACTTTGATACACATAGTAGTTTATGGGGTGATTCTCACTTCGATGCACAAGCTCGTTTAATTGAACAGTTTCTAATCTCATCCGGCATTTGTCTTTTGAATCGAAAGCAACCAACATATTACAGCCTGGCCAACAACACCCACTCGCCCATAGATCTCAGCATTACATCCCCGTCGCTCTTACCCCTACTCAAATGGAAAGTCATTAATAATTCTTACAGAAATGACTGCCTTCCAATAATTCTGAGCACACCAATATATAGTACATGTCCTCCACAGATTCCCAGAGCCCCGCCGCGGTGGTCTAGTGGCTAAGGTACTCGGCTGCTGACCCGCACGTCGCGGGTTTGAATCGCGGCTGCGGCGGCTGCATTTCCGATGGAGGCGGAAATGTTGTAGGCCCGTGTACTCAGATTTGGGTGCACGTTAAAGAACCCCAGGTGGTCTAAATTTCCGGAGCCCTCCACTACGGCGTCTCTCATAATCATATGGTGGTTTTGGGACGTTAAACCCCACATATCAATCAAATCAACAGATTCCCAGATGCCATATTGACAAGGCCAGCTGGGAAGAGTTTTGAAAAGCTACTGCCTTAACCTAAGTTGGCCCAGCATACGTGCCTTAAGAGGGGGACACGGGTCTTAAAAAGCTGCAAATCGCGGAAAAAATGGACTTTTTGAAGCTGAAATTTTCGTTTGAAGCTGACATTTTTGGAATCTGCAACTATTTTTGCACTTATCTGAGAAGTTTCAAGCTTCTCACATCATTATTTCTGGCCCAAATTCTATAACACCCCTGTGAGACGAATCTGAGCGCAAACAGACGGGAAAATCGCGCTTTTCCCGCGGCGAATTGTTGCCGTATGCACATGCTAGCGTGGATATCTTGGTCTCGTTTGGAAGAGTGGTTCTTCATCTTCAATTTCTCGCCACTGCTGCCTCACCTGGCTCATTAGTTTTTTAGCAAAAACGCGTCATCAAGAATTACCAGAATGTGATTCTATTGGCTGCTTGGGGCATGTGACAAAAATCTAGGCATCTGATAGGCCAAGTGGCGTTTCGGACGTCTGCTTCACCATCGTGACGCGCATAGGCATGCGCTATATTGTCATGGTGCTGTCAACTGCATGCTGCAGTAAAGGAGTTCCGCACCACACAAATATGTGAAGCGGGTGTGGCAATGGTTCGTTCACCATTAACTCCAAAGAGAGCCCCGCTACGGCTCAGGACTACGGGGATAATGAACTGGCGACGGTCAACGTCGGTCGCCGAGTCACGGGTGTAGGCCTAACTCACGTACGAGTCCGTCGGTTGTCGACAACGTCGCTCACAGCAGCCGTGTTTTGGAGCCTCAATAGTTACACAATAGTTACACAACGCAAGTAAAAAAGCAGAAGTGGAGCTACGAGAGAGAGCAATCTTTGCAGCGATGGAACGGAAGCGCAGTCTTATCGCTAAACGGGTCGATGTTGCGGCTCCCCCTGTCTGACGAAACGACCTCGTTTGTGTGAGAACTACGTGAGGGGTCATCAGAGTGGAGTTCGCTGCGCGTCGACAAACCGCAGAAAATCAATCCATTCATGGTGAACATGCTCGCCGCACACGCAATGGAGGCTACTGGCCACAGGTAGAGTGCTTCTAATGACGCGCTCGCAACGATTAACATATTGCGCACCGTCTCTGCTTTGAAATTTAGCAATCCTACGTGAAAAAGAAACTAACACCTCACTGCTCTTGCAGCCTTGAAATCGATCAGCGAGTGCATGAGTTCAGTCTGCCACATCTACAACTCAATCTGAACAAGCCGGAAGACAATGCCTTGTCATACGACGGATTGCGAATAACGCGCGCACATTCGTTGCACATCAGCCGGCGTCAGTACCGTCACTGAAATGATAAGCGGCCTTGTTGGCAGACGAGCACATGGCGACAGCTTGCAGCACAACTTGATAGAAACGATTCCCTCATGCTAACAATCAGTTTGATTACATGCCCGGTGCATATTAACTGATTAAAAGGTTGTGTGCCATTATATTTTTCACTGCTTGTTTCGAATTTGCTTCGAACCTGAAATTCACCATTCGCACAAGCCTAAATATTTTACGACAATTTCGAATAAAGATAGGGCATCTGAAAACTTATTTGTAAAACACAATAATAACTTGAAAAAATTATTTTCATAAATGTTCTTTAATAATATGTATTGATGTATTAGTCCTACTGCACTTGTCAGTTCACCATCTTTCTGACAAAACAATAATAATTGAGACTGGTTGAGTTGAACCAGAGATATTGTTGCTCCAATGTGACACCATCAGAGATGCCACTTTGGGGAACCAGGCAAAAAAAAAAAAAATGCTGTTTTATTGTGCATTGTGCAGCCCCCGCTCCGACAGTCCCATCGACGTGAAAATATATTTCATGAATGTCTGGCCGTTCTCACTACAGAGCATTGCACGCATGGATAAAACGCTTATGTCAAATGCATTGCACGACTTTTCACCATCAACTCTGCGCGAGTTCCATGCCGTCGTCACTTAGCCACAAAAGTCGCACTTCACTATGAGTTTCTTAGCGGGGCCGTAGTCACGGTCACCCATGACTAGTTTAGCACACCCGCCACATACTTTGCACCACGCTTTGCACCGTTGGGAATCAGCGAGGAGCCCATTCAGGACTTTCAAGTTGACCATCAAATACGAAGCGGCAGTGTCAGCGGCGGAGGCCGATATAACGCGTCGCTCGCTGGTGTCGACTCAAGTCGTTCAGGCGTGACCTGCTCACAACCACTCACTTTGGGCTATGTCGCTGCTCGTGACAGTTTCAGTGTGAAACTCAGCACAAGAGTTGACACTAAGAATGCTGTCGTTCTCAGGCAGATCGCTGTCAGTTGCATCGTCGCTGGTCGCTTGCTCATCACTTGTAAAGCCGGACGACGGCATGCCCTTATCTTGCGGACAGCTATTACTTGCGCCGACGATGTCTGATTCCCCAGCACTGCGTGTCGCTTGCTTATCGGTTGCAGAGCGGCGCGATACTGTGCCTTTGTAGAGCGGACCACAATTACCGTCCATCGCCGTTATCGGGTGCCGAAGTAACGACTCTTACTTGCTGATCGCTTGCGGAAACCAGTGATGTGGAGCCGTTAGCACGTTTTTTTTTTTTTTTTCATTTTGGCTCGTTTTCTGCCTATCTTATAGACTGAGTGGAACTTTCTCAGTCCTCCAAGCACATTTGTCGTAGGTTCGTAGGATTCCCGCTAGGATGCATGGGCTTGTCGAATGCTGCTATGGCGGGTACTCAAATTGGCGCAAATTGTGGATATTGTTTATGGCAGGGGGCTTAACAACAAATAACGGTGTAAGGTGTGTTTAATAAATTCTTTTTATGTATAAAGAACATGCCGAATATGAGCGTGTAGTTATTATTTTGTAAAAAAAAAAAAAACAATCCGTTGGACTGATGACAACCTTTTGTTTTCCGCACTTGCATCCTCTGGCGTTTGGTGAGAGCCCTAGTTTGTTACCTAGTCACCTTAGCCTCTAACTAGACCACCGCGGCGGGGCGAACAACAAAGGCGCTGTTTCAGTGCTTTTTACCGCACCCCACTACCTGCCCTGCGCAAAGAATGAAACTGAAACTGTAGGAAAAGTTTGTAGACAGTTTGCTATCTAACCCTATCCAATCTGAAGCCTGTACTTCCCATAATTCCCATGGAGGTACACGATCGCAGCGCCAGATTCTTCTCTAGGTATTGTATGAAACTCTATGGAGCGGGCTATTAAAGAGTAGCAGGCATCTGAAATAAGCGCGATTTGTCCACAATTCAAAGGGCTGGGGGCGTGCCAAGACATATTTAATTTACTATTACGTCGTTAATACATGGGATTTTAAAACAAAAGCTTACACAAAGGTGCGCGATGGTAGAAAGAATACGAAAGTGACACTTTTGGAAATTCGATTTTTGGGCAAATGTTTGGGTCCTAAGAGCAGTGTCTACCCTTCTACACGTAGTTATAGCGGGGCCATTGCTGGTGGCTTTAGTGTTGTAAGGCCTGTGAAGTGACTACGTCATTACACGTCCGCCTTTCGCTCTCCATGGTCAATAGTTGACGGTAAAAAAAAAACAAAAAAAACATCATCACGGCATCACATTTATTGCCTTGTTTTGGAAGGCGGGGTGGAGGGGAAGCTGCTGCGTCGCTTGAAGTAGCTGGTGCGTGCCATCTTGAGGTATGATGAGACTGCTCGTGAACTTTTTGTGCGACTGAAATCTGCTTCCCGTTTAAATAACTGACAACACGAAAGCTTTGGCAACTAGAGTGATCATTGTCCCTTTAGCCAGCGTTTTTTTGCGTTATGCGATGTCGGATCTTAAAGATACAATTTGTTTGCTTCACTTACGCTCTTAGCAATGAATGTATTGTCATACCAAATAATAAGGCTTGATGTCATCCGTGAGAAGCGCTAGCAGCGGGGTCGCCATTTCCAAGGTCCGCGCACTTGCAAGAACTTGCTGCTCGCGCTATGTTAGACATCCGCGACTTAGGGGACTAGAGACCCCCGAAACATATTGCACGCCGATGTACAGATAGAAACAGACTTGTCTAGAGCGCCTAGCTGGCCGCTACAGCTAGTGTTTTCTTCAGAAATATGTAAAGAGAGATGCCATAAATAATTCTACCAAACATGCTCGTACTGCTTGTTAGATGGGCCCTTGTACTGTAATGTAAGTAAGCATCAACGAAAGCTTGTAGCTAACGTTAGATAGAAGCCATGACCAATAACAGTGTCGACAGGCACGCACTTCGTTGCTCTAGACCAGTGTGATACTGTCTCTACAGCACAAACGGCACAAACGAATTGACCTCCGAAATGGTGCGACGGTGTTGTGGCCTCCTTGTAATCAAGGCTTAGTGCACAAGGCTTAGTGCATATTCTTATACTGGCTGCTCTAGAAAGCGGAGCACTTTTCGCACAGTCAGTTCGCTTTGAGAGACAAGGTAGAAGGGTATCACCCATAAATAGCCCGTGCGCCAGTGATCACACTCTTAAAGTCAAAGTTCATAATATTACACAAAACATGACGGCCAGTGGCGTAACCAGAGGGAGTGGGCACATCCGGGAAAGTGTCTTTCTTACTTCCGAATTTTTTCAGTCATAGCATATATAGCGAAAAATGGCCTTTTGTCTGCCCCCCCTCAGCCCCCCTCCCCCTCAATATGGACAGAAGGAACACAAATGATGATGACGAGCATCGTCTGTGTTCCTTCTGTTTGTTGATTATTTTTATGCTGTAGTGTGCCTTACGCAGGTACCCACAAGCCCAACTCGTCACTTTAAATGACTGCATCTCTGTATCTGGCTTGGGAAGTTTGATAGTTTTAATAGTCATATTTAATAGTAAACACTGTTTGAAAAATAATGGGAAGTTCGAATATTCACATCACCCCTAGTTAAATCTTTCATATATCCATCTTTTTTTGTCAGCTTGTGAATAAGTGTTGCTTATTAATCTTTACTTTGGGAAAAAAAAAGCTCTCTTGCCAAACAGTTCTTTTTTTTTTTTGAGTTCATTAGACAATATGTGAGGTTATAGTTGCACAAAATTTCAATTTTTTTGTATTTATCAATTTATGAATGTGCGAGTTGTGGAAATCTCGGCCCGAAGGGGCGTTCTCTGTGCTTCCATGTCCGTGGATACAGTTTCATTCTACGTTGAGAATTTCTGCCAGAGAGCAATATGCCCAAAAGTGGTTGATCAAGAAATGCCGCTTCTGTGTGCAACATTTTGGCAAGACTCCTAATCAGATGAGAACTCTTCTAGGCCGAGGCTTGCCATCCATGCTCGCTGTCAGTTGTCGTAAAATGCCATGTTTCTGTGGCCTGCCCGTCATTTTATGTAACTCCAGCTGCCTTGCATGTATTCTTTGTGTGAGAATAATGTATGTGTTCTTTCAGGGAGGAATCAATGCTGCCCTGGGAAACATGGAGCCTGACGACTGGCGGTGGCACATGTGGGTTTTTCACTTTACTACTGTGTTCTCACTAACACTGGTTGTAGGGAAATGTTTAGAAAGCCAACACAAGAAGGGGTTTTTAAGATGAAATGGATGTAAGCACTTGGAAATCATACTAATATTTAATACTGTTCAAGTAGTTTTCAAACGTTAGACATCCATTTCTAGGGTTAACATAAAATCACAGTCACATCTTGGCATTGGCTTTAAAATCGAAAGAAAGCACTGAACTCCGGAAGCATGAGCGATTGTTGCATAGTCAGTGAGGCTCTGACTCCTTGAGCAGTGTAGCCCTCTGCACTACCTATTCTCTATTGTTTCTTTTTTTTTTGCTTTTATACAGCACTCACAGGGAATAAATTCATCATTAATATTGTGTTCATTTTGGTTGTGGTATACATCTGGTATACATATCAGATGTGGGATGCCGGTTCGATGAAGGACGGATCCCAACATAAAACGTAACAATCATTTATTAACCTGGTAGCAGCAGTGGGGCAAGTATGCCTCCACTGCGTTTGAAAGGTTAGAGAAACAATCAGGATACCAGGCTTGGTAGCTTGGGTTACATGGCCACCAGTGGTGACGTAAGCCTACGGTGAAACTGCGGTGGCGCTGTTTTTATTGAAAGCGTGTTGCAGCAGGTGACCGTGTCACGCAAGGCTAATCAGTGATGAGGCTGTGCGGGTCTGTGCGCAGTGGTCGTCACAGGGGCATACTTTTGCATTTGGAGGTGGGCAAATGTCAGAGTGATGTTCCGTTGAGTGACACACATGGCACACCTGCGTCGTTACTTTGTACCAGTGACACAGTGTCTCTGCTTCCATGAAGTATACACATCTAGGCAATGTGCTTTCCGTAACGTTAATATTTGCAGTCTTAGATGATCCAAGCATGCTGACTTGTTTAATAGTAACTCGCCGAGTTGCGATATGCAAGCTGGCCATCAGTTCAGTTTGTGACGTTCCGGTGGGTATTCCGTAAATTACTCCTCATAGAATATCTTCAGGGTCTGCCACATAGACGTTGAACGGCTGGATGTGGCCTCTGATATTGAGTCGAGTGCTTTCTCACAGATGCGTAGCAATGTGTTCTTCCGACGTTGATACAATAATGATATTCACGCCAGGGTGTACACGAAGCATGAAATTGCTTCCATCAAATTCCCACTGGCAGGCGCTAATGATCGTGAAGGTAAATTTTCAACTTTAGTAAATCTTTCACTGTGATCTTTTGGCGGTCTCACATAATCTTTGTCATCCTTTGGCAAAAGTGACAGATGTCGGTGTCTTCGACGTTTGCGACGGCAGCCTTGTTTTGCTATGCCCTCCCGCGTGTTGACATGCATCAAGCCCTTCATCGGCTTCCTTCTGATTTTTAAAGACTATAGTCTTTCTTGGGAATCTTCGACGCCAAAATTTTTGTCTGTCTGTACATTTGTCTGTTCGTCTGTGCTAACAATATTTGAAGCGGCACCCATCGATACCTTAAATAGTAAACTCCATCAGCAGCGCCGACCAATATTGCTCAAGTTTCAGCATTCATACCTGTGCGATTGTCAATTCAAAAGCAATTATTGCGCATAACTAAGGCACCATAACAACACATCGATGTTTCCTGTGTGTGGCTTTATACTAGAGAAGGCACACATAAGTAATTATAAAGACTGTAGCATTTATCACGCTACCCTGACAGTGCAACGCGATGCTCAAAAAGGCAAGTGTTTCCAACATTTGGCTAAGACGACACGGTGGTGGCACCTGCCTGTCGCTTTGCGTTCTACACCTTATCGCCTCCGAGACAGGAGCGCCTAGCGGCGACCCTGTTACTGTTGTTTAGTGCATGATCAATCACTTTCAACTTGAAAGCAGCCGTGTAGCTTCAGTATCGTTTCATGACGTGACAAGATTACCGACACAACAATCAAAACACGCTGCAACGTGCACTTGCCGCTTTGGCTTGGCTTGGATTAGATTGAATCTCTGTGCAATAATAGTACGCTTGATGCTTAAGACATGGCGCCAGATGGCACACGCTGTCATCTACGGCTGGAACGAGCAGACGACATTATTGCTGCAATTTACAGGGGTGCGATAGAGACTCGAGGAAAAAAAGAAATTGTTTTTTGTTGGGCGATGTGGAGGGTGCGAGAATTATGCGATTGCGATGATTACGCGAGTAAATATGGCATTTCTGTAAGGGGATCACTCTAGTCAAATGTCTTATTAATATAATAAAAGCAGCTTTGTTTAGTTAGTAAAATGATCATGTAGCCATACAAAGGCCGGGTGAAATGGTATGGCTGTAGAATTGCATTACAGTTGCCATATTTATATATAGCTCATTTATTTTTAGGCCTATTTCTGGCGACTATGTTATGTTTCACTTTTTTGTCATTGTACTGTTGGAAATCATACAATTTAATATTTTCGTGTGGCCATGCTAAATATTGCTTTGATAACTTTGTGTATTTTGATTATGTGGACATAAGAAAGCACTGCCGCTGTTGCACTCAGCGTGAACAGAAGCACATAAACAAGTTAGCCACCTTTCTTTCTCCTGCCCTGCAGGCAGTACCTGATATGTAAAAAATAAAAAAAAAAGTAATATGCACTAAAATGGTGAAACCTGCTCCACATGTTTGCGGGGTTGCAAGACTCACTGCCTGTACTTTTTGTGTTTGCTGAATTGATTTCGCTACAAGGTATGGTATTCAGTGTTCTCAGACGTTGCGCAAGTTAAGTTAAGGCAGACTATATTATTACTTTGAATTCATACAGTCATGCTGCAAAGGTGTGATTACCATCCTGTGTGATTACCATCCATGGCACCATCCTGCCAACTGGTGCCATGGCATGCACTTTTTACAAACTTCGCCCCACAGCTGTGATTTATACTATTTGGTTGAAAATACGCTGGAAAACGAGTGCCTCCGATTGTTGTAGTTTTTTGCCTGAGTGGTATGTGAAAAGATCCGACTTATCCTTCTTGGCAAATGAGGCCTCTGCCTTTAGTGCTCATTATAGAACATGATGCAATGGCAGGGATTAGGACATGGGTCTGAGAAGTGCCTTACAACTGAGGTTACTCAGAGTGTGAACACAGGTGTCCTCCTTCGATTGCAGGTATGACACAGTGAAGGGCTCTGATTGGCTGGGTGATCAGGATGCAATCCACTACATGACCAAGGAGGCTCCCTATGCTGTACGAGAGGTGAGCTATTGGCTATACAACGACACTTAGTTCAAATTTAGACAGTATTTTCTGCATTTCTGTATTTGCATGCATTTTCTGTTTGTGTAACTCGGCCAGAGCTTGCTACTGTGAACTTTCGCTTGAGGGGGAAGATATCGCAAATAACTTGAAGTCACCAAAATGAATATTCACTGAAATATGAAGCAGCACTTCGCACCGCAGAAATCAAGTCAAACATGTGAAATGTGATTTCTTTTTAAAATAGCTTTGTAATTTTCATTTCAACTGGCGCCACATGAAGAGACGAAGCTGTCCAGAGAGCCTTGATTCCTGTGCTCTGGCTCAGCTTGTTGCTGTCTCGCAACTTTCTAATGTCTCATACAGCCTCGGCCAGAGATGCAGGATTTGAAGCTACCTCAGTCATCCAAGAAAGCCACCTCACTTGTTGCTAAGTATGTTCCACTGCACAGGTCTTCCGGCAAGAAATGTTCTTCCGTGGTTTTCGATGACATAAAAAGATAGTCAAATAACAAAAAATGCCTTTTTCGTATTTCGCCTTGCAAAACATCGCACTTGAAGTTTAATTCATTGGAATGATTACTCTAAAGCACTGCATGCATGTGTAAAGCAAAAGCAGTCTTCTTTAATACATACAGTGGAGGCCTGGTTATACGACTTTCAGGGGGCCACACAGAACTGTCGTATAATCCGGGCATCATATATCAAAAAACTAAAAATATAGGCAGTAACACGCAGCCTCGTACAAAAAAAAAAGGGGGAACAGACAGGCTGAATAAGCCCACAGCCTGACCTTGCGCCTTTGCAAGGAAGGTAGATTAATTTGTTTTTGTCACGGACAGCATTACTTAGTTGAAGCAGGTGTGATTGAATCTTTATTTTTAAATTTAAGAAATCTAATGAAATGTGCATCTTTCTCCCATTAAAGTGGAGTTCAAAAGTTGCCTGGGCATAAAAATGAAACTGAAACAGTGTTGCCAACAGGCTCCTGTCAGAAGAGTTAGACACAGTGTCATTGCCATCACATAATGACCACAAGTTCTTAAGGTTGCGTTGAACGCCGTCGTGTATGACTGAGCTATTGTAATCTGTTGCCTTATGAAGTACTAGTGATGTTTCACTTTCACTTTCACTTTATTTCCTTAAAGGCCCCGAGTGGGGGCATTACATAAAGGGTGTGTGTACAGTAAGGATACATGATACATGACCATTCAGGATGAGAGGTGCACTTTTACAGCATCAATGAAAGCATCTGGGTTGGTGGTGGCAACGATGGCGTAGGGAAGGCCGTTCCAGTCTACAATGGTGCGTTGGAAAAAAGACGACAAGGTGAGAGTATGGGTTTGAGGACGAGCAACACTTAAGCAATGACCTGTACAAGGGATATGCGAGCAGGCGGAGAGATGTAAGGTGGCTGATTGAGTGAAGTGTAATACATTTTGTGAAACAGGGATAGGCTGGCAAAGTGTCGGCGACAAGAAAGCGCGGGCAGGCCAGTTGCCGCCTTTAATGATGAGGATACACTAATGTTATACAAATATGATGAGTGAATGAACCTGATGGCGCTGTTCTGCACCATTTCTAATGCGTCTATGAGATAAGATTGATGAGGATTCCAGATTGCGGATGCGTACTCAAGTTTTGGTCGAACTAAAGATTTGTATGCGATGAGTTTAACGTGAGGAGGAGAGTGCGTAAGTGACGTCTGAGAAAGCCTAGGGTTTTGTTACCGGGTGAGATGACAGTTGGACACATGCGGAAACCGATTGAGATCTTTGGAGGTAGTTACACCGAGATATTTGAAGGTACTAACAGATTCAATAGGAGTGCTAGCAATTTTGTACAGATAGAGGAGAGGGCTTTGCGAACGGGTGACGGACATTATTTACATTTACTGGGGTTCAGGACCATAAGCTAGCGATCACAACAATTCAGGATTTTAGATAAACTGCTCTGCAGCACAGCCTGGTCGGAGGTATTTCTTATTGACTGGTAAATAACACAGTCGTCTGTGAACATACGAATAGAGAAAGTAACTTCTAATGGCAGATCATTGATATATATTAGGAACAATAAGGGACCCAGCACGGAACCCTGGGGGATGCCGGAGGATACAGGGACAGGATTAGAGGCTATGTTATTGATGCGCACACACTGAGACTGATTAGTAAGGAATTCTTTTATCCATTGTATGACATCTGGATGCAAACCTAAGTGCGAAAGTTTTAACAGCAAGCGTTGATGTGGTACTTTGTCGAAGGTTTTAGCGTAATCAAGGACTATTGCATCTACCTGTATTTAGAGTTCATGTTGGAGTGCACATCATGAATAAAAAGAGCGAGCTGTGTTTCACAGGACAGACCCTTGCGAAAACCATGCTGTGATGAATGGAAAAAGCTGTTGGAATCGAGAAAGTTCATGATGTTAGTGTAGATGATATGTTCCATGATTTTACATGGTATGCTGGTTATGGAGATGGACCGGTAGTTTAATGGTGAAACTCTGTTACCTGACTTGTAGACGGGAACGACTGTCCCCACTTTCCATTCGTTCGGTAGAGTGCCTGATTATAGAGACTTCGAGAACAACAAGGTTAAGACTGCGGCAGCAATATGCTTAGTGTTCTTTAGAAGTTTAGAAGTGACGTCATCAACACCTGCGGACGAAGAAACCTTTAGCTTTTCAATCAGTGATGCGACGCCTTCAGCCGAGAAATTTATAGCCGGCATTAATGACATGATAGGGGTAGGGCACTCTGGTAGGGGGGCGTCTGGTTCGGCTGTGAAAATGGATGAAAAAGCGGCGTTGAATGTATTAGCGCACTCAGAATCTGAAAGGATATCACCCTGATCCATATAGATAAGGATAGTGCGGTTGGGCTGAGGGTTAATGATCTGCCAGAATTTACGGGGGTTATCGGTTATCATGCGGGGAAGGTCCGAGTGAAAAAAGGAATGTTTACGTTGACGAACTTGTGCAAGATATGTGCATTCAGCTTGATAGTATCTGTCCCACGAGTCGGCATTTGGTTTAAACTTCGCGGTACGAAAGAGCCGCTTCTTTTTGTTCTGAAGTGTTTTAAGGGTTTTGGTATACCACGGCTTATGACGATTAGAAGGAATAGTGGTGACTGGAATATATTTGTCCGCTGAAACATTCATCTTGCCCTGATAATATGACCAGTTCTGTTGCACAGAGCGATTGTGAAATGTCGACTTGTAGGACCGATAAAATTCATGCAGTTTGTCGTTTATGGCCGAGTAGGTACCTTTTTTTGTAGAGGCGAACTTTTTTTGCTGGGGAATCTTTTTTGCTGTTCCACTGTCATTATGAAAGTTGACGTTAGGTGAAGTTATTTTGCTCAAAGTAAATAGCCACATCTTGCCCTTTTGCGTGGTCAAGCTTGTGACTACGAGTGCCTCAAAGCATGGCAAGAGATCAGCTGTACGTCACTCAGGATAAGTTTTTACAGACAAAGAACAGGAAAACATCAGGATCTCAGAAATGAGCTCTTTGGCCAGCTGAAGCTACTCAGGACGGAACTTCCTTAGGTAACCAACGACCCTGCATACGCAAGTGATCAAGGCTTATACAAAAGTGCATGAACTGCCAGGAGAATAAGCTTTCTATTCTAAGAAGACATCTTGTCTCAATCTCCACTTTTCTGATCACCAACCTAGGGGTACGCACATTCTTATTTTGCACTCGTGAGTATTTGGTTAATGTTTGCCGCGAGTAAAGGTGGTTTTTTGCTTCAGATGGAATTGAAAAGTCGTAAGGTGCAGGGTAAGCATAAAACTGCGTTGTATAACGAAGGTTTTTAATACCTTAATTATATCTCTGTGGTGATTTGGCCGGGACCAAACCGATCGGTCGTAAAAAGCAGGTGGCCGTGTAACCAGGGCACGTATAATCGATATTCCACTGTATAATAGAATACCTTCGGGCTTGACTGAGCTGCGCGCATTGTGATTTGTCGCCTTGTGAAGTGCAGCTAGTGATGTCCCTCTGTTATGACGCTGAAATAGCTGTATCACACCTTTTTGGGAGCTCAAGCTTGTGCTTGTGAGTGCCACAAACCAAGGCAGGAGATTAGGTGTACGTTCACAGAGTGGCGAGTAAAGGTGGTTTTTTTTCATTTTGGGCAGAATTGGAAAGTCGTCCTAAGATGCGGGGTTGGTGTAAAACTGTGTCATATAACGAAGGTACATAAGCTCTATTGAGATTTTGCCAGAACCAAATCGATCCGTCAATTCGTCCGGGCTGTGTAAGCTCCTCTGCCACGAGTCCTCGTCACATAAATCAACCCTCAAATTCGTGGGGCACTGCCAGAGCATGCGAGCTAGCAAGCAACTCTTGAGACCACAACGAAGAGACTCCTTATAAAGAGTCTCTCCGCCAACGCTATTCTACTATACGTTCGCGGGCAGACATATGTACTCGTCTGTAGGTGTCAAAAATTGTTTTCATGGGTTCTGTTGAGCCTAGTATTAGGAAGAGAAACACGCCTTCCTACCAAGCTTTTAGCTAGATGTAATCTTGTGGAACGTTGTCAGTATTCTTTTTGAGGTCAATGTCCCCCGATGCGCTTCAAGACCCCTTGCACAGTTCGTACATTCACGTGTAAGGGTGTGAGTGCTAGCATTAGGATTAACCCCATCAATGCCCTTAACGTGCACTGGAAACGAAGAGATATGGTGGGGTACCACCAACCCATCTCACCTGTGTCCAACCACTCCGAATAAGCCATGCTGCCTGCTGCGAAATCAGAAGAGAAGAACCGAACAGCTGATCTTGAATCCGAGTAAATCACATAAAGCATCTCTGCTGCCTGAAGAGCTAATGCAGTGGCGACCTCCTCCGCAACTGTGACCTGATCTGTATAGACTGACGCCCGTGATGCCAGCGGCCCTTAACCATCAAGAACCGACACCCCAAGGCCTGCCGGGTCCACAAAAAGCACCGCTATAGCATCACTACGTACACTTCGAAGAATAGCT